TATAATTATCGTTGAGCCTGTAGGCCCCCTGCTGCGCAGGGGGCATTTTCCGCAGGAAAATTCGATTATATAAGCGACCCGTCGGGGCCCGATTAAGCCAGTTCATGGATATCCCATCTGGGACTGGAGAGGAGGACTGAGAGAAACTGTCTGTACCGGTACTGTCTGAGGATATGTGGCTAGTGATTCTGCAGTGGCTAGTGCCCTGCGCAGCCTTGGTGCCCAGAGAAGGAATATCAAAATCGGTGTCAGGCCCCAGCCTCACACACACAAGCACACACCTGAATACAATCAGTCAACCCATCTTTATTCAATCTTTCTGTCACCGTGACATCTTCAGATACCATCAAATCTGACAGAAGTACTAATTTATATACAGAGTGGGAAATAGTAAAGTAACTATCTTTCTCCTTATCTTTCCACATACAGGGTTCTTGTACAGCTAAGATATCTGTCTGTCTCTTAACTGCAATTTCGAGGAGTGTTTGTTGTGCTTCTTGTCTTTTCCCTGTATTGTATTGAATAATAGACAATTCACCTTTAAGTTTCCTAGGCTTATTATGCAAAATTGTATAGGGATCTCCTCGAAGCTATTCTATCATTAATGTGGAAGGGTTTTGGCAGTCTTCCACACTGGATAGTCTTTGCTGTTAGCGAAGTGGCCTCCCTTGCAATTAACACACTTTGGGATAGTGTGTTTATAGGGCCTGCCTTTAGAAGAACATTCTAGGCAGTTATGCTCCTGTGTTTTGTGGGCTTCTCCACACAGCCTACAAGCTAGCTTGTAGCAACTATCCATAGGGTGGCCAAATCTCTGGCATTTACCACATTGGTGGGAAGGAGAGATAGTACGATATTTAACTATCTTAACTATCTTGCCAGCAATTATAATCCTATTGTGATGTAGGATAACACTGCAGGTTTCTTCATCTTTTACAGCAAAAACAATGGATCCTGTTTGCTGTCCCTCTCTTGTTTCCCTAGTAAGCCATCTAGGGTAGCCCACTATAGAGATAGAGGAATTGAAAGTCTCTATCTCCTCCTTTAGGGCAGTGCCAGCCCTTTCTCCTAAAAATTCAGGGGCTAGGGGAACCCCATGGGCAACAATTTGTGCCCAAGTCTCAACTCTTTGCTCATGGTTAAATCGAAATAGATTCTGCCATTTTTCTTTATATTTAATAAGAAAATCTGTATTGTAGTCCTCTGTGGTGGTAAGAACAATATTTTGCTTGCCTCTAGACTTAGAGACAGCAGCAACAACAGGCTTTTAGCTGTAGAAACAGCCAGGAGACAGTGGTTTATCTTGTTTCTTAGAGATAGAGAATCTATCTCCTGTCCCTCATCTTCCTTTGTCAGATGGTAAGCCAGTTTATGGATATCCCATCTGGGACTGAAGAGGAGAACTGGGAGAAACTGTCTATACCGGTACTATCTAAGGATATATGGCTAGTGATTCTGCAGTAGCTAGTGACTCTGTAGTGGCTAGTGCCCTACGCAGCCTTGATGCCCAGAGAAGGAACATCAAAACTGGTGTCAGGCCCTAGCCTCACACATACAAGCATACACCTGAATACAATCAGTCAACCCATCTTCATTCAATCTTTCTGTCACCATGACATCTTCAGATACCATCAAATCTGACATCTTTGCTAGTAACAAGTACTGGTTTTCTCTTAAGGAAGAGTTCTTTTTCTTCCTTTTTCTTTGCTGCCTTCCTTTGGACAAGGGTAAATGGTTATTCCTTAGCCACTGGTTTAGCAGTTTAGGCAGCAGCATTTGCCTTAGAGGGTAAGGAAGAGGTGCTAGTAGCTTTAGCAGCTATTTATGCAAAGGTAAGGCCTTGTGTTTGCCCCTTATTTGTCTTTGGAGCAGCAGGGTGTTGTGGCTTAATAGCAGTAGCTAAAGCCTTTGTGTTGTTGCTAATCGCAGTGATAAGCTCTTGCATTTGTTTTTCTTGCTTATGAAGCAAGATAGAAGCAGGAGATTGCTCTTTGTTTAGCATCTATTATAGTGCTGTGGCGATTTCTTGTACATTGTCCTTCCTTTGTCTTTCTAGCTGTGGAATAGCTAGTTGAATTTGAGAAAGGGCCTGCTTAAGGCACCTCAGCAGAGGAAGTCGAATTGGCTTGAAAAAGCAAAGGGCTGTCAGATTTGATAGTATCTGAAGATGTCACGGTGACAGAAAGATTGATTGAAGATGGGTTGACTGATTGTATTCAGGT